ATAATACATCTTTTAAGGACATTCGGTAGACTCATTCCCCACTGTTGGTTCAACCCCAAAACTTGTTTGTATTCAAAATTAATTATGACAATGCATATTTATATTGAAACAAACTATGATAAAGGGAATTATATTATATAACAAAGGGCAAGGTCACCAGAGTTCAACTATGTTTTTTTTTATGGGGGAGGGGGAGGTTGTGAGAGGAAGCCTTCGAATTATTGAAAAGCTGATATGAACAACAATCCATCATAAAAACTGTCAATCATAGAGAAAAATGTTCTGTTACAGGTCTATATGTTGTTAGCGTGGAATACCCTTTAATATGCCTCATAAAAAAGGACTTGTGGAAATAATTTTAATGAACTAATTGCCACATTGAATTAAGGGAATCAAATACTTTATTTCACTGTAATAAATGTAACGGTGGTCACAGAGGAAATTTCATAGACAGAATGTACATAATTTTCGCTGAAAAGAATTTTTGGATGTTTTGCATGAAATTTATTTTCACTGATTTTTGTCAAGCTAAATGTAAAATATAGGAAAAAGGGTATATTCGCAGGATTTTATTTTCACTGAATCATTCCTTCAGCGAAAATTAATTCCAAAGCGAAAATAAAGTATTTATCTATCGGTGTTGATGTGCATGCACACTACTGGGAGAAGCAAGGTATGTGTATGAAGTGCTGTGATTGGCTGATCACTATGTATTCTATGTATATGTATTCTCAGTGGGTGTATGATAGCCAGATGATTGTTGAGATACGCTTTCTATCATACTAAACAAAATTACAGAAAGTAATTATAAAAGAATCAGAAAAGTGAAAAATAAACAAAATACCAAACAATATTTGTTTAAATCTAACATTTACACATCAGTGAAATGAGAAAATGTGCTAATTTCCTGTGTTTGGAGGTGAATGCAGATACATGTATGGATAGGATAGGATAGGATAGGATAGGATATTTTATTTCGAACATAAACAAAAATAATGTTTGAGTAAAGTCCAATATAAGAAACATAAAGTAACACCAACTCATTTAAAATAATTTTAGAATTGAAAAACAAAATTAGCTAAAATATTACAAATATATTTGTCTAAACTTGAGAAAATATTAACAAAATATAAAAAATTTTCCATTTGGTAAGGTTTGATAATCAGGCGAGTATCAGGTAAAGTGTGTGTGTGTGTGTGGGGGGGGGGGGGGAGGGGTGGGGTCAAATAAAGGTACAGTATATTAGACTACCCCTGGTAAGTTTCCTAAAAATTTTGAAAGTTACATAAAACTGAATCTCATTAAATTTTAGCTTCAGCAATTGTAGTTCGAACTCATGCATATGTAATCTTACTATTTTTCTGTTTCAGTCTTGGGTTGTTCGGAATGGCACTGAGTAGTCCAGAAATACAATTGTAAGTTTTTCGGGATTACAGTTTTCACCGTTCTATTAATCCAATTTATTGATTGTTTTATTTTTTATTTTCTTCATTGCTATTTTCAATGATGCTCTGTTTTAATTTCATCAGCTAACTATATTTTACTCATTGTCATATCTTCCTTGCTTTCTCATCTTTAGTGACGAATCCATGAATGATACATCAGTAAGGCTCGGTTCATTCTCTTTGCACTTTCGCACTCCACTATGATTCGTCTCGCAGCGCATGTCTAAGTGTTTTGTAATTTTACCCACATTGCACTGCAGTTTTCTTTTAAAACAAAATAAATGGTGGGAATTAGGTCATGGGGCAGCATGACAAGGGGAGTTGAAGATTGAAGCAAAAATCCAACTGCATGATGTCCACCAAAATTTGATTCTGGTAAAGTTGTAGTCTCCAACAAAAAAGACGTGGGTGTCCGTTTCTGGCAGCCCTGGTCACCATTTTATTAAGTTGATAATAACACACTGCATTGTGGGAAATTACATCATCATTTTTCTTGTGATGGGACCCATCACTGAACATGCGCAGTGTGACTACTCTGACACTTTAAAGACAGTAGTTGCAATTTTGTTGTTTTTCTCCAGATTTTAAATTTTGAAAAAAAAATGAGTTCAGTGTCATTGAGTTTTCTGCTGAGGGAAGTGTTAAGAACATATCAAAATTGTCTTCAACCAAAATTCATTAAAGGGCTGTTCGGTAGATATCTGACAATTATTTGATCTGTACTTGCAGTCTGAGTAGTTTGATAGTTTGTTGTTTCACAACCTGCAACCTTGTAGGACACGTTTTATTCAAAACATAAAATCTACAATACAGAAAGTTGCTGCTACATTTCTTATACATGCATGCCATTATTGTGCTTGCCATATTTTTGGTTCAGCAAATGCATTTTATGTAATTTTCTATAACTTTTTTGTTTATGTTGGTCCAGATGAACATAAATTCTTATTGGCTACTGGTTGAAATATATGCCAAAATTATGAGGGTTTACCTTGTGGAAAGTGACAAACATTGAGTTTAGCTTTTAAAGGGTTAAAACAAATCCACACTATGAAGAAGGTATTAAAAACTGTTTATTATTTCACAAAATTCTTCAGCAGCGAACATTTCTCTGTAAACTAAAGAGATTCATAACATTTTGTCAGCATCGACAGCGATTGTTAGCTACTGTACATAAAAGTAATATTTACATATAAAAGTAATTTCTGATTCTTTTTTCCTTCATTGATACTAAGTAATATGTTTATATGTCGTATACTATTTTAATTCCCTTGTGACATCTCAAGTAAATGTATAAATTCCTATTATCTTAATTAATTCAATAATTGTTATCATTATTTTATTATTTCTGTCCTTATCTGTTAATGCATGACTATAAATGTCGTTATAATTCATGAGTTCAAGGTCAGAACGTTACTTGCATTATTGCATGACCTGGTGTTTATCAGTCTAAGTTAGGATATTTAGTATCGATATGTCACTCCTGAAATAGCGTGTTGAATGTCTAGGTATATTGTATTTGCTCTATTAGTAGCACATGTGCTTACGTTAATAACACAAGTGTGTCTACCGATAAAATAATTCGTATTTTAATAATTTGGTATGCACTGAAAATTAATTTTATGATTTTGTGTGCTTCAATTCAATAATAATATCTATCGAACAAAAATAGTATATATTGTATATCACATTAAACAATCACTACGTTCTCCCAAATTGCATCTTTTATTTTGTGTGTCAACAAAACTATAGTGTATTACCGGTAATTTTGCAAAATATAAAAAAAAAAAGTTGCCAGAAACATTGTAGCAACATTTCTCCCCTCAAAATCATTTATTTTCTCAAAATGTTGGTGTAAGTGATTTTAAGTTTTTGAATGAAATAATGAATGAATAATTATGCGCTATTACCAAACATTTATTTCTCTTTGTTTTAGTGCGAGCCGATTGATTTGGTTGAGAAGCGATGCTCACCGTACAGTAACCAAACTTACCCTGTTGTGTCTCTGGAGGCACCCAAGATTGAAAATGCTGACCAATCCGCAGCCAGTGGACTTGTTTCTGATCCAGAGGTTTCCTTGGCAACCACATTTGGAGAAGTTAAAACTGGTAATATTGGTAAGTATAATGATTTACGGATTCATAAAGAAATATTTTATCAAGTTTTATTCAACTACTGGTGGATTTATGTGAGGAAATATTATGGGATGGTACATTTATATATACATGTATCTAAAAATATGCGTAGTATCTTTAGCAGACATTTCATCTAAGTTGCATGCCCTTATCTCTTATCTACCTTTGACATCACATTAAGTAGCCATGGTTTCATGATAATTAATGAAATTGAAAGCCATTTTATTTTAAAATTTTCAGTTAAAAGACAATATTTTATAAAATATGTGAAAGATTGAATAAGATTATGAATTTATAAGAACACTTTACTGACCATGCAATATCAGTCGGTGGCAGACTATCGCCATTATTTCAAAATTTGACTTGCAATGTAATAAACACTTAGTGTGAAAACAGTTGTTTTGCAAAACAAGTAATTCTTATTTTTAATCAAATTGTTAGCTTTGTTGTATTTCATAACCGTTCCATGTGGATGATTTGATAAAATAGTGAATATGTGTCAAGGGTCAACATTCTCCGCTGTTAATTTCCGTTCAGCGGTTTGTCTTTGATTGTATCTTTCACTTGTATTCTTTTGTATTATGAATATCAGGAATTATGTATTAATACTTCCAAAAAGATGAAGAGTAAGAGGCCTTGGTGTGCACAACAAACATAATCGTGTCATGTATTATTCAAACATCTGGCCCACACACCCACACCCACTCGCAATCTTTATACCATAAACAACAAATTTGAGTGGGTGCATTTTCTGTTAACTCTTTGCAATTATTTGTCACAATGTTTCAATTCAAAATGCATCTTTTCTGTCATTAATATGAGATTAGTATACTGCAAAGTGTGCACAAAGGCAGTACGAAAAATTTACGCATCAACCTTTGCTATGCATCGGCATCGACACCGTACAGCCTTCGTGCATTATTCTTGTAATAACCTTAATATATTAATATCATAAACCTTTTCCCCGCTTGTAATAATAATTTATTAACAGCCAGACATGGCAACGAGAAATATTTTGTCTTGTGCGAACATTTGTCTCTAGTGATAGGATTCTGTTTCCTTTGCCCATTTAAATACAAACAAAGGAAGGTGTTAATGTTAAAATCAAAGTTGCTGTTATCAAAGTTATTAAAATATTTAGAAATTAACTGTAAGCCCCATGAGTAATCTGAAAAAGTATATCTTGTAAACAAAGGAAGATGTTAATGTGAAAATTAAAATTGCTGTTATCAGAGTTATTAAAATTTTTAGAAATTTGCTGTAAATCACATAAGTAATCCGAAAAAGCATAACTTGTACCAAAATTTTAAATTATAAATGTTACTCAGATTTGTATATTGTTTTGCAGGGCTTTATATAATATTTTATTTGATGTCAATGTCAAGTTTAGTTGCTCTCCATGTGCCCTACAATGGATTAATGGCTGACAAAGCACCACCACAGCAAAGAGGTAGGTATCCCATAATATTTATTGTATTTGTTTAGTATATCTGCCCTGCTAAGACATGAGTACTGTAAAAGGATTAATTATTCACTTGGTTTTAATTTTGCTTATTTCGCTGACTGGAAAATGCGCTAAATTAAAACCCAGAGAATATGTGAAATTGAGCATATAGAACACATTATCTAAATGATAAAGCCGTGAATTTAAAACTCAATGAATATGCCTGAAGTGCTAAATCACTAAAATTTAAACCCAGTGAAAACTAGTCATTTTACAGTATTTCTGAAAATGTTAGTGATATCAAAGGAAATCCAAAACTTTCTCACCTGCTTATGTAATAACGTACGAACTCAATGATATTGGTAAACAATTTCATCTTTATTAGAATCTCGTTCACAGTAATACAGACTACACAGCTCCAGAAAAACACACGGAGCACGTGACACACATGCGCAGTACACTACATAATGGTCCACCAGATGTTTACCCCAGTGCATGCTGGGAGTTTACCACACTGCGTGTTGGGAGTATATCATACAGCAAGTTACCATATGTGTGTAGTAATGATTTACATGTATCAGTGGTTTTGTTATCACATTTCTGATGACTTGTATGTTTTCCTTTTAAGCCATTTTAAGTCAATAACACAACTGTAAAATAATTTATTATTATTTATCGCTATTGTCGCTGAAGGAATGATTCAGTGAAAATAAAATCAAGCGAATATACCTTTTTTCCTGTATTATACATTCAACTAATCAAGAATCATTGAAATCCATACAATAACACCCAATAAGTCTTTTCAGCGAAAATTAATTCCACTTTAAATAAAGTATTTAATTATTATACTAATATTATTGTTATTATTATTATTATAGGTTCTACTTCAGGCATGATGGGTTTCATGATACTCCTTGGTAACATTTCGGGGGCCGTCATTGGAATATTCTTTGGGGTAAGGTAAATCTTAAAAACAAAAGACTTATTAGTGAACCATTGGTGGCGCTATTACAGGGGAACTCTTGAACGTCTGGCATAAATGTATTTTTTTGTATCAATTTTATTTAAATAAAAAAATATTTTTGATACTGATATCAATTAGTAATATACATCTTCCGTTACCAATATCTTGAATATGCCACAGCTGTTCATTTCGATGTCAAGGACATGGTTTAGATAATACTGTGAATATTATATTTAAATGAAATGATATGAAGGTAATAATCAGAATAGGAGTGATAATTGTGTCCTCCATTGTGTTTAGCTGATGAAATATTGTGTATTATTAAGTATTTTCTCTTTCTGTAATTTCCCATGATGCACTTGTTTATATTTGAGATACTAAAATGTAATTAGCCCTCTTGTGATGAATGGCTGCTGCGATGGACTGAGTTGACACAATGTGATTCACATCAGCAAATTGTATACATCGCTGTGGGTCCCATATCGATGACGACCGCATGTTAATCACTTTCACATTTTATATACCAAACATCAATCTCCTTTCGCATGATTTTTTTTCATTGTTTTTCAACAATTTTAATCAAGCCTTTTATATCTATTCGGTGCATAATAACTGAAGTAATTATAAAAAAAAATTTAAAAATTGTCAAAATGATGGCCAGGTAAAAAAATACATTTATAATACTAGTAGCCATCCAAGGGGGAATTTTAACGTAGGATGAATTGTTTTGTAATAGCGCCACCAATGGTTCACAGATAAGTCTTTTGTTTTTATTTACTAGACAATTATTTACTTTTGTTTGCTTCTAGTTGATTTCTTTTTTTTTTTTCGTTTCTTCAGAGTTTTTATTCATCACCACTAAGAAACTGGTAAAATTTGAGATAATGTTTAGGTATTAGATAATCGCCAACCCCGAAATGTTTCTGACTGAATTGCCATGGCAACATACAAAACAATGGACTCCTGATTTTTACTGACTTATGAAATTCACGAAAACTTGTCACTGGAAAAAATAATTGTTTCCAGATCATAATTTGATGTTCTAGGTTCTTTTATCTTGTCCCCAGTGTCCTAATTTAATGATTACCACAATATTTATGCCTTATATAATAAGATTTTTTTGTTTTGTTTTCAGACCATTGGTGTGCTGGGTATTTATATTTTTGTCTCCAGTGTCCTGGTTGTGACTGTACTAATTACTGTGATTACAACCACAGAGGAACTTGGTAAAACAACGCATGAACCATTAAGTGAGTGACTATCAATTATAGAAGATAAACTTACCTAAAAGCTACTGTAAAATCATTAATTTTCATTTGTTTAATTTCACTATTTTGATATTTTTATTATATATACTGGGTTTTAAATTCATACATTTTACAGTGAAACAATTGAGTTCTGTTGTAATTTTTTATTTTTTCATGTTAGCGGATTTCCACCTCAAAGTAAAATTTAAATTGGGTGAATTATTAATACATTTACAGTATTTGTTTAATTACTCACTCATACAGCAACTACCCACAAATGAAATCTTTTTAACTTTTTGAGCAGTCAATTTTGTTATGTGCAGATTTTGATCAAAGATTTTGGTAATTATGTGTCTGACTTGTTGAAAATTGATTTTTGTTTTTCAGATTTCAGAACCATGGTGTGCGACTATATTGAACCATTCAGACAAAGAGATTTCTGTTGGGTATTCTTTACACGATTTCTAATGCAACAAGGTATCGCCACGGTAACAGGGTAAGTTAAGATGTGCTGACGTATGCTTTAATATTTTTTTTTTTTCAAAATTGCAGGAGCTTACTAAAAATAGAACTGACATTATTCATCAAGATCAAATGTGGACGCATGCACAAGCAAAAACGTCAATTTCATTTCGGTCTGCGTTACTTCACTGTGGCTTTTCAGTGAATCTCAAGATACTATAAAACTTATTTTTTTTAGCTAGCATGTTATTTCAACTATTTTTCCTAATTCAAGATGCAGCTAATTTAACTGAACACTTTAGTTAAATTAGGATTCTATTAATTTATACGTTGAGTAACAAATTTTATAGTACAATTACAGTACAGTGTTTTACAGTAGTTTGTTTTGTGAAAAAAAATATTTGCTAAATTTATTTAAACACGGCAGTTTTAAATACAACTGTAGCTATTCTAGTTTTTGTTTAATTGTCTTTTTTTTTTGTTCAAATCAAACATCTTTATAATTAATTAATCAAACTATATAATCGCTAGAGATGTCATATGAAACACATGCTAAATACTGTACAATCATATTTAATCTATTTATGATTTTAGAAGAATTTTCAACTCATCAATTTGTTAAATTCATTTGTTACTAGGTTTTTGGAGTATTGGATTGGTGATATGATCCCACTACCGAACTGTATGGCGGCACACACCGCTATTGGTCTAATTCTAGTACCATTGCTGTTCACTGCTGCTCTCTGCTCTATAGCTGCTGGCTGCTTCTCTGATAAATATGAGAAGAGAAAACCTATTGTGATGGGAGCAGGTAAAACATGTTAGATTACTTCTTGGGCTAGACTATTCAATTCAGGGGGGTTGCTGTGTATGCATTTTTTCCAATGGTTCCTCACAATGTCGGGCGAGATGCAAATCATAGGTGTGTTTTAATTGTCTAGTTAGACATCAAAATGTTTTCTATAATTATTCCATTTGCTGTATTATTTCTGTGCAGCAATAGCTTTGATATTTAGTTTAGATTATTCTCATTCATATTATATCATATCCTTATGACGTTATTACCGCGATCAGTGATTGGTTTAGAACCGACTTATCACAACTTGAGTTTTGTGTCATGTGACACTGGAGATTCTCGCGCCATTGTTATCGTTATTATTTTTTGTTGTTATTTCAAGTCGATGTTGATGTTTCCCGTTTCATAATTCAATAAATGTCAATCCTGACATGAAACTTTCCGACTTCGTTAACTGCTCCGACCTATAGTATACAGTGGCTATACTTCGAACCAAATCACAGCCACACACAAGTCGTTGATTACTTCACCTGAATGTTATACAATGGCATCAACATACAAGGTGTTAACACAATGTTGAAGCACTGATTCCCACACAGTTTTGTTTTATGTGTGAAAATACAAATCACCTCCCAAGAAGTTTATGTTTTGTCAATAAATCAGTTTTGATCAAGTCACAGGAGATATTATTATTTAAAGACGTGTTCACATAATCATAACATAACATAACATAATCACAGAAGATTAAAATAAAACTGTGACAATATTAAAACATTCAATGTTTTAACTTGTCGAATATAAATGTCCATTTTTGTCATTTTTTGCAGAATTAGACCTAATTTTTGTTCTTGATTTTGATTGAAACTTGTAGCTAGTAGGAAATTATGTCACTTTGGTCGAAAAATAACAGAAAATATAGAAAAATACAAAAAAATGAAGAATCTGTTGCAGCAAAATTTTTGGAGGGAAATGATTGTTTTCAATGGGTAAGGGTTATGTGACTAATAATTAAATGAATAATAATGATTTTATTCTGATTATAGCGTTAATAATGTCGGTTGTTGCTGTATTATTTGCTGCAATACGTGGTCCTAATTCATTCTACGGTGTCATTGTCATCTCATTGCTCTTTGGTAAGTTCAGTTCAGATCTCAATTACAAAGTCGAGAATTGCGTCCTGTAGTATTGTAAAATCTGTTAAAAGCTGCGGCTTCTATTAGAATGGTACAATGCAACAGAGGGAATGTGGCTTCTATTAAAGCATCTACACATATGAGAAATGGTGAATTTTTAGGTCACAATTGTTCAAAAAGAATGCATCTATTAGGGATGGGGCTCCTGATACAGATTTTATGGTATATTGTAATATAACGAACTACTTCTAATTTGGGCTATTTTAAGAATTATATTTATTTTTCTGTATTTTTATTTTGCTTGAATTAAAGATTTATATCTGACTGGATATTTCTCATTCTGTAAAGAAAGAAAAAATTGTTCAAATCGATAATGTGATG